ACAACACGTGGAAGCCAGAATCAGAAATATACACTTGGTGGCTAACATGAAATAACTCTGGCTTATGAATGAATGAATGAATGAATGAATGAATGAATGAATGAAACAAGTTTTCATATATTGTATAAGCTAAGAAAAGTAACTTTCAGATAAAAAACAACAAAACAACAACAACAAAACAAAACCTGAAAGTGAGGCTCTGCAGACTTAAAACTATCATAGGAAGAAGGAAGGCATTGCTAAGATGATGCTAATTTTCCCAGCTCTCTTAGGGTGGATTGCGTACATGGCTAAAAGCTTTCCCATCAGAAGATTAGTGTCTAGAAATTCTAGAAGGAATCAACCTTTTAGATTAGCAGAAAGAGTTGCTAATTGAAATGTCAGTGTATCATGAAGCATTTAGGGGAGAATCCACATGGAAAAAAAAAGAGCCAGTGCAAAGGTACTCTCAGATGTTAAGTGTTAAAGGCAAGGTTGATCCCAACAGAATGGTATATTGATAAAAATGAACTGGATTTTGTACAAACTTATATAACCAGACTGGGTCAGTTTTTAAAAATGAACCTCATGTGTTAAATTGAAGAAAGAAAACATAAGTTCTCTCTAAGAATTCAGATCTAAAGACATAATTTTCATTTTCCAAAACTAATTTTGAAAATTGTCTGCGTTGGGGTTAATAAATGATCCAGAATATGATTAACATCAAATCAAGCTGATTTCAGACCTAAAATGTCAAACTAGATAAAAATAGATTCTGTGAAATAGTAAATGTAAAACATGTAACTTACAACAATCCATGGCCATGAGATTGTAGACGCATTTAAATCAGTAGCTCAGAAATGAAGAGAAATTAGCAGTAGTAGATTGATGTAGTTATCAATAACATATTATACAGGACCTGAAAATAATATATAGATTGTCTAAACGAAATAACCAATGTTTTAATCAATACATATATGTAAAAGTTTTATACTTCAGTAAAAATCTCTATTAAAATGAGGTGTCACAATATAGAACTTTAATCTTGGTATTCAGGCAGAAGTGAAGGCTGAAGCAGAGGTGGAGGCTGAAGCAGAGGTGGAGACTGAAGCAGCGGTGGGGCAGGGGTGGGCTTAGGGCTTAGAGACTGGGATGGGAGTGGGCAGAGGCTGAGGCAGAGGCAAGAGACTGAGGTTAGCCTGGTATACATAATGCTTTCCAGTGTGACTTAGTGAGAACCTATCTTCAAACAAAATCTCTTTTAGCCACTCATAAGAATTTAGTAAAACTATTACATACAATCTTAAACAAATTTCTATAGATCAATCTGAAGCAATAAACAATGGGAACCAGAACAGCCCAAACACCAACAGATGCAGACTGCAAGTCCCTGTAAAGAAAGTCATGAAGACAAAGCCAAGATAGGTGATGGTGACTTTACCACAGATGAAATCCAAACTGAAATCACAGATCATAACCACCACAACGAGTGGGCTGCTTACAGTTTAAAAAGTGTGACTGTCACTACCTCTTCATGGGAATATATGTCCATGTGCTTTTTTATCAATAAGTTCTCAGTGGTAGCTTAGAGAAAGAAGCTGAACTTCATTCTTGAGTCTGATATATTCTCTAGCATTCAGCCATGCAACCTTGTCAGATTTCCCAGATATTACCTACCACCCAGAAACTATGTAGCTCTGAACTCCCAGTTTCCCTGACATTTAAAATCCCCCTTTTAGGACATTATCCTGTATAGCACACCCTGCTTTATCAATCTATCCATCCAGCTATCCAGCTATCCACCCATCCATCCATCCATCCATCCATCTATCTAGCCCTCTCTCCCTCTCTGTTCTCTCTCTCTCTCTCTCTCTCTCTCTCTCTCTCTCTCTCTCCCCCCCCTCTCTCTCTCTCTCTCTCTCTCTCTCTCTCTCTCTCCTTCTACATCTGTATCTATCTATATCTACATATCACAGTTGTTTTCATTTTCTTGGAATCAAGCTAAGAAAGAGTAGATTACAGCTGCAGACTCAAAGAATAGACAGTGAAGAACCATGGGAAGAAGCTAATTCTACTTGTGGCACTTAGTCTTACAGCCTCCCTCATTAGAAAGCCCGATAGTGCTAAAAATAAGTATTATTAATGAGTGTCTCTAGGACACATTAAATTATAAGTAGACTACATGTGTTTTTAGAAAAAAATGACAAAATGTGTAAATTATATATGAAATAATTCTTGACTACTAGCACTATTTTGAGATATTTGTACCACTTCATTTTGATTTTATAGATTAAAATGATGCTGTTGCAATAAAATGTTAACTGTGAAGACTAGTGAAGGGAAAGATTCTTTTCTAAGAACTTACTGTTTTATTTATGTGACTGTACATACTTACGTCTGTGTGTCTACCACATGTTTGTGTAGGTGGCTACAGAGGTCATAAGAGGGCACTAATCCCCATAAATCTAGAGTTACAGGTGATTGTGAAGCTCTAGACATGGCTAGCTCCAAGATCATCAAGAAATCTTAACAACTGAGCTACTTCAGCCTCAAGGGTAGAATTTTAAAGTAAAATTTAAGCCCTATTTCCTAGAAAATATTTCTAGATTTCTTTTAAAACTGTGCAATATGTGCATGTCTGTCTTACTTTACTTTTTCTTTCACTCCAACTCTCACAACTTTTAGATATTCTATAGCATTTGTTCGTAAGTTCCTATTTTGGGCCTCTCACTTATTTTCTTACATTTTCCTTCTAGGGAAGAGAGAGGGGCAAAGCCGTTTTTTGTCTCTTGAACATTCCTTGGATTTGCAGTTACTGCTGATACTACCTCACATTGGCAGTGTTCACAGGGTGCTTTATATTTTGACAAATAGCCATCAGACCTTGTGTTCTGTACTTTGATTTTTAAAACTTACAGCAGTGACCATACTCAACTAGTATGGCTACACACACACACACACACACACACAGCTTATTAATAAAAGAGTGAAACAGTGTAGTTGAAACCATGCAGAGGACAAAACCACCCAGACCGCCCATAGATTTGAGAAATTGGCAACATGACATTATACTTCAAGCCTTTTTTTTTCTTTAAGTTTTCCTAGTCTGTACCATGCTGGATTCTCATTACTCCAGACCGGTAGTTCTTAACCATCCTAATGTTGTGACTCTTTATTAAAGTTCTTCATAAACCATAAAATTATTCCATTGCTACTTCATAACTATAATTTTGCTACTGTTATGACTCATAATGTAAATATCTGACATGCAAGATATCTGACATCTGACACACAAAGTAGTTGTGACCACAGGAGAAGAACCACTGCTCTGGATCATGCCCTTTCCCTGTTCTAAATCATCTTTAATTTTGCTACAATTACTTCTTAATGAGCAAGTTTCAAGGTGTTCTCCAATTTAAAAATGTGCAAAAATCTACAAAGAACAAACATCGTAATCTCTTATAGGAGCAAACCTTTGGTCTCACCTTTGGGGACAGAATGCTGGGTTTTGACTGATTCCCTTCCTTCAGAATTTGAGAACATTTTCCCCTTCTTCTTTGGACCCAGTGTTACTGAGATGACAGATCAGAGTCTATGTTCAGTTTCCTTGTGAGTAGCCTTCTCTTACACTTCAGAAGGTTTATGTGTCCGTCTTTGGCAGGGGAGTTTCAGTGTGTGTAGACTTGGACAGCATTTTGTTAATTCAGCGGCTTGCTGAGCAGGTCATTTCAATTATGCCAGTACTTCTTTCTTTATGAACACTTCTCTTTGGATAGCTTTTATCATCTCTGCCTCATTTGTTCCTTTTCTTCTCCATTTAGCACTCTCATTAGAAGTGTAGAGTATCACTGGTCTATTTTCTCCAACCTTCTAATCTAAATGTCTACCCCAGTTTGCCCACTCCTTCCACAACAGAACAAGCTTACAGTTAACAAATTGTTTCACTTTGCACTGGAACACAGTGGAGGGCCATCATCAGTAACACTTTTTTATAGATGTTGTCCATATCACTAGACACAGATGAATATGATTTAATGGGATTGTGCATGTTCTCCTGGGATAAAACCTGGAGTCAGTATGCCATATATGTTTTCTGTTCCCTACGTGGGCAGACCTGTAGGAGCCATAGAGCCAAATGCACAAGTGGGTATGTGTTCCGACTTACTGCTGAGAAAAGAGATTTGCATCGGGGATGATTGTCTTTTATTAAAGAGTGAGTTTGGGATAAAGTTGTTTTGCATCGGGGATGATTGTCTTTTATTAAAGAGTGAGTTTGGGATAAAGTTGTTTTGCAAGGTAGATTAAATTACCTTGGCAAGGATCCTTTACCATTTTTATATGGATTATCAGAATATTACAAATTTACCTTCCAAATAAATAATTTAGTTGTCAATGAGAACATTAATTTATATAATAAATGTTAAATGTCTTAAATGCTTTCTGTAATAGCAGCACTAATTTCTAAGATACTTATTTTCTTTATGGTTGCTATTTTCCATTGGACTCTTAGTTTTTTGTGTTTGAAACATATCTTAGACTATCAAATAAGACTGTACTTTTTAAATTACTATTTGTATATGTAGAATTGATCCTTCCATTTATGCTTTCTAATCCTTTCCTATGTACACTCTGATCTAATGCTGAATTTTTAATTTGCAAGAGCCCTACAAATGAAGGATACATTGTAATAAAATATTAAATTAAATTCAAATAATTAAACTTAGGTAAAATGCTCAAGTGCTTGGCACACTTATTAGGCACCTTTTTAATTCCTAAGATTAAGTAACTGACAGAATAACTTAAGGGAGGAAGGGTTTCTTTTGGCTCACAGTATAAGGGGCTACAGTCCATTATGTCACACCATAGCAGCAGGATCACAGCTTGTTACATTGTGTCTATATTCTGAAACAGAGAAAGCTGAATGTTGCTTGTTCTAGTTTGGATTCCATTACTGTTATAAACACTCAGATCTAGAGCACCTTAGGGCTTACTTAAACTTATAAGATAAAATCCATCACTGACCTGCTTCTAAAGGCATTTCAGGTGTGGCTGCTGTGTCACATGTGCATCAGTAGGTGACAGAGAGGAGAGAGGCTATGTCTATGCTCAGTGGTCTGACCAGTGAACATTTGAATGATTAGTAGCCTAATCTTTCCTGACAAAAGCAAGCCTAATATGATCGCCAGTCCAGAAACAGGCAGGTCCAGGATAGGGAGCAAGCCAAAGATTAGAAGAATTCTGCCTGAGACCACTGGCTCCTGTCAGGTGTAACCTTGAGACAGATGGCCCTTTCAAGGGCCCATTCTGGTGTACCAGGCAAGGTGTGAGCCGGAGACAATAGCCAGACACATGCAATGGGGCCAAGACAGGGAACTAGTCTGAAATAAACACCAATACTAGCACCTTACAGGCCTGAGGGAGTAGATCATGCCAAAGATGACCTCTGCCTGGTACCATAATGCTTGATCAGGGCATAGCACTTCTGAGACCACTCATGATATGACCCCAGACATTCAGAGACACTGGACACCAGTAAGAGGAACAAGTAAGTGGTGCAGAAATGGAAATGAAAGAAAATCAGAAGGATGTGGGCACAATAAAGAGGCAGCACTGGAGACTAGAAAATAATGAGAAACAGTAGTATGTTAGTAGTTGGTGATGCCACCTAGGACAATGCTGGGGTTCTGGCCTGTGCTGCTACCATGTCTGGGTCCATGACCCTGCAGCAGCAGGGGTCTGTTACCACCAAAGGCCAGGAGGTTGTCTCTGGTCTAGATCACTGCCCAGGAACATATTTCTTTCTGAGGGCTGGGCAGAACTGACCCTACTTCTCACCTGGATATTGTGAGAGAGCTGGTCTGGAGTCAGGAAAGCAGGAGAGCTAAGCTCACCCTGAGCCAGCTTTTGTACCTGGGAGAGTGTGTCCTACACATTGTGTGAGTTGTAAGTTAATCCGAGGATATGTTGTGGGAGATGTGGCCCTACCACATATCTCCCATAAGGCCATGGATGAGGGAGAGATACCCAACTCACCCCTTAACCTTCACCACCAGCAACTGGCAGGAGACCTGACTCTAGTATCATGAATGCAGAAGAACTGGCTCTGCTCATCACCAGATACAGCACTCTCAAGAGCAGGTCCTATACCTCACCTGGGCCGCATAGTAGAGCTGACTCTGGTGGCAGGGGTGACAGCAAACCAGCCTGGATGGTGTGAGCATAAGAGAGCTGACACTGCCACTTGTCTGCGATAAGGTGACATGGGCAAGGGAGAAATTCTCCCTACCATATTCCTTGCCAGCCACAGTAAGCAGGAGAGCTGGCCCTGCCCCTCACCTGTTGTAGTACTCAGGAGAACAGGACCTGAACCTCACCTGGGCAGCACAGTAGAGCTGACCCAAGATGAGAGTGTTGCAGGTGAACCAGCTCTGGGGATATGAATGCAGGAGAGCTGGTAGTTGGGGAGGAGGTTGGAAGGGTGGAAGGTGGGTAAACGGGGAGGGAGAAGTGAGTGGGATTAGTGTGCATGACATGAAATCCACAAAGAGCCAATACAAAGTTTAAAAGAATCCATTCATGAGAGGGCAGACCATAAAGCAGAAACCATGGAGGAAGGCTGTTTGCTGACTAGTTCATGAGCTTATGCTTAACTAGATTTCTTATCCAGCCTAGGACCACTTGACTAAGGAGCAATTCTGCTCACAGTGGGTCAGGTAAGGATCCTCTCTAGAGTATTCCTCAATCAAGGCTTTGCTCTCTGATGACTCTGTGTTGAGTTGGCAGAACTATGACACTGACATAATCATAATAATTTCTCCTTTATATTCAGTTCTAGGACCACAGCTTACAGAATGATGTCAAGCTCACTTAAGAGGAGTTGAGTCTTCCTACCTCAACAAACCAGTCTAGAGCTTCTCTCCTGGGCATGTCCAGTGGTCCATCCTGCCAAGCTGGCATTGATATTGACAATCATGACTTCATTTGCAATTGTTTCCCCATCTTGTTCTTACCATAAGATGCTCTGCCTGCTTCTGCTGGTTTCTCCCAGATTGTCCTTCATGTCTCTTCTTATGTGTACCAACAGAATACCTAATGGCACCATGGTCTAATAGCCTTGTTAGTATTTCAAATCAAATGTTTGGAAAACTGAATTAAACTTTGGACTACTACATGGAGATGAAAGTCTATCTCGCAGTTTGGCTTGAACAACATGGCTGAGTTCCTCCTCACCTCAGAATGGAACTTCACACTCACAGAGCTCTCTTCCAGTGCTTAAGTTTCATGTTCATCTATTGTGCGAGAACCCATGGAATGTGATGTGACTCTGTAACTTCAATTTACCACAAATAACTATCCCACATTAGGACAAAATAGTAATCTGCCTATATATTGTGTCTGCCATCTATACAGTTCATAAATTTGTATTAAATTCAATACTTCCCTTGAATGAAAGTGCAACTTCGTCATTTCTGTTTCTAACTACTTCCAACTTTCAAATGAAAATATCAAAGGCTTAATGGCATAGCATTGCATGAGAAAATGCATTTAATATTTCCAAATCAATCAATCAATGCTTTTCAACTTTTACTAGGGGGGCATACATGTACATTAAAGGCCTCAGTGATTCAAAAATGATAGAATGTTGAGATGGAATCTGATAACCTGAGATGATGCCCAAGCATAAATCAGAGTCTCAGGGAGGCTGAGTCAAGTTATTCATGACACCTGGCTGCCAGTTTATGCACAATTTATCCAGCATCTTTGAAACTTTCCACCTAATGAGGCATACAGTAAGGAGAAAAATGAGTCAAGAATATATGATACATTTGGAAAAGGTAGCAATCCAATTTATAAATCTGCATTGCCCCGCCATCTGGAGGTGCCAGATTGGCAAGGCTGCTCGTCAGCATTCTGTGTATTAGCCATGCTTCACAAGATGAGAAAGGAACCCTCTTAGTGCTTGTGCATGCTCAGATTGAAGGACTCCTTCAGCATGCTGATGACCAATCTGCAATGTCTCCTCGAAAGGAGCTTTTTTCCTATTGTACTGCTTTCAAGAGAGTGGGAGGCAAATGGTATAAATTAGATTCTTTTTGGATAATAGTGAATAGTCAGGCATGAAGAACCCCACAGTTAGTGCTGACAGTGGATTGTTACTCTCCCTTGAAGCCTCTTTCACCTGGAGACAGTTAAATACATTAACTCAGGTCATGTCCAGTATAGTAAATTCCTTATTTCTATGAGGAAGTGTGAACAATACAGTGACGCTCATTGTGTGTATAAAAAAAGTGAAGCTAAGTGAGTTTATAATGGAATTATGGTAAATTTCAAATATCTCTTTTTCTTGAAACAACCTTGGACAGTTCTCCTATCCATTGAGTGTGTATCTATTTGAAAGACCTAGATCTTAACATGTTAGCTGTAACCTTGTATAAAATATACTTCTATTCATACTATTAGTCTTAGCACATCTACAGTAAACCCCTTTAATAATTTTGATAAAAAGAATGAAGAGTAGAATGGATTTATTTTCAATTAAATAAATAATTGCATAAAACACCAAAATCAGCCATGTTTGTTTACAGTGAAACACCATCTGAAGATTCTCAAAGTTAGTAGAGTGAAAGGTATATATAGTTCTATGCTGGCAAACAGACAAAGTCAACTCTGGAACCTTCCATAAATCTGGAATTTTGAATTTTAACAAATCTAAGAGTCAACTTTTGAGATGTCCTTCTACTGAGCAAGAATCTGAACGCAATGGTATAAAAAGTCAGAAGACAAACTGGAAGTGCCGTGCAGCAGGAACACACAGGCAGGGTGGGGAATTCTTGTCTCTGTTAATGAAGTCTATAAATTTCTAGAATCCACATAGACAATGAATGGGAGGGAATGGTGATGCATTTAAATTTCTCTAAAGGGAAAAATCAAACTAGGGATTTGTTCCCTGAGTAATAAATAAAAATAATAAAAATAAATAAAATAAGACTGATCTCCAAGAAACAGGCTGTATATAGTTTTAAAACATAAAACTTATTACAAGGAAACCCAAGAGTCAAACAGCTCTTAACAGCCTGACTTAGTTCTGTTTTATTTCTGATGCTGAACAGATCATTTTTGTCTAACAGAAATTGCAATTGAAAACTACCCTTGAATACTGTAGGGTATATTGAACAAGTGATGGAAGGTGCCATTCATACTCTCCTGATACAGGAGGCTGACTGACTCATTACTCAGGTAAGTTCTTAATGGGTGCTTGAGTGGGTGACTGCAGAAGACAGAGAGATTGGGGCGCCATCAAGATGATCTGAATTGAAACATTGTTTCAAATTTTCCCAAGTGCAAACAGCATTTAGGTTGAAAGTTCTGTAAAATGCTGGTGAACTGGGCAATGAAGAACCTTGAGGTTTAGCATTAAATAAAAAGTTTATAGTTCATATGTTTTCTCAGGAATATGCATATACGATTAATCTTTATAGATGTTCTTTTGAGACTATAGTCAAGGAGAGACAAATGCCTATAGGAAGAAGAGCCTGCCTGAGACTCTCTCTCTCTCTCTCTCTCTCTCTCTCTCTCTCTCTCTCTCTCTCTCTGTGTGTGTGTGTGTGTGTGTGTGTGTGTGTGTGTGTGTGTGTGTATGTAGGGATACATGTGGGGAGTCAGAGGAGAGCACCAGGTGTTATCATCAGAAGGCCCTCTTGTTGCTGCTTCAGCTTATACCAAGCTAGATTGTCCCTCAAGCATCTGGGGAGTCTTATGCCTCCACTTTCCCCCTTTGTCATAGGAGTACTGGAGATACAGAGAGCAGGCTATCTTGTCCAGCTTAATGTATGATCTGGGGACACAGAGTCAAATCTCCACATCTATGTGACAGGTTTTTGTACTTGCTGAGCCCTCTCTTGAGTCCTTGTTAGTCTTTCATATCACACAAAGTGACTGAATTTCTTTTCCCTTTCATAAGCCACGTGATATTATCAGGACATGTCTGCCTGTTGCATGAATCATATTTCTTCCACTACATACTATGAATGTGACCAGGACTTAAGATTTTTATGTTAGAATAAAGGGTGCCTTGCCTAGACGTCTTTTAGAGACGTCTGCAATGTAAATACATATATGTGTGTATGAATTCATGTATGGGGAAATGTGAATG